GGGTTTAGGGTTTAGGATGGATGGATGGGGTTCGGAATCCTCACTTTCGGGGTTTAGGGGTTTAGGGTTTTAGGGTTTAGGGTTCGGAATCCCCACTTTCGGGGTTTAGGGTTTTGAGGCTCAGGGTCTTTTATAGGGTTTCGGGTTTAGGCTTAAGGCTTTAAACAGGATTTCAGGGCATTTTCGGCTTTTTGGGGTTGAGGGTTTAGGTTTAAGGTTTAGGGTTGATTGTCTTAGAATTTTCAATCCTCAAGTAGTTCCTTTATAGGTCTCTATAAAGGCTCCTATATAAGGGCTTAGGGTTTAAGGGTTTGGGTTTTAGGGTTTCATAGTTTTGGAATTCAGGGTTTAAAGCCTTTTACACGGGTTTTATAGGGCTTCTCCCGGGGTTTTGCAGGGTTTCCCCAAGGGCGCAGGTTCGGAATCCTGATTGTAGGGTTTAGGGGTTAAAGGTTGTAGGATTTCGAAGCTTTAGGGCCCGGCGTTCCGTCTTGAGAGCGGTTTTGCGGGGGTGCCTAAAGGTTTATTGTGCTTCAGAATTTGGTTTCATAGGGTTTCAAGCAGAGGTTTGCAGGGTCCCAGAGGGTCATTAAAGATATCTCCGAGATGCTTCACTCTTGTGTCTGGCACCTTTGTATCAGGATGTCGCAACTTGTATAAGTTTCCTGGATCTAGGGGTTCTCCCGAAACCGTGAACCCCAAACCGCTCCACAGGTTTCGGGTTCAGGTTGAGGTCTCAGGGAATTCGGGTTTTAGGGTATAGGGTTTTAGGGTTTAGGGTTAGGGGTTCAGGGTTGTTCTAGGTTTAAGAACTTCGTGCATGTGCTGTAGAAGCAGTGCCACCACGTACATAGTACCGGTCCTTCATGTCGGAATCTATGTTCGCTGAATCGCGCCCCGTTCGGCGACCGACATGGGAGTTTGAGAAGCTTCGGGACCCGATACACATTCAACAAGGAACCACCCGATTCTCTGCACCGCTCTGCCCACATAAAACGCGTATAAACCCCTATAAGCCCATCAGGGCATCATAGAAAACGACTGCATGACATCTATACTGAACTTAGACCCCTAGCAAAAATTATAATTTTAGCTGCTTCTTAGGGTTTACAGTAGCCGAAGATCAAAAATTATTTCTAAGTACCCCTAAGACATGGGGTTTGCCGGGCAACTTGTGGAAGAGGAGGATGTCTGCTGCGTAACCCGTGCTCCTCGCTTCTGGCACTGGGATTTGATTTTCCTGCGGGGCTTCAGGATTAGGGTTTGGGGTGTAGGGTCTTTGGGGCTTATCCTAAACCCTAAACCCTAAATCCTAAACCCTAAACCCTTAAATGGAAGTAAGTTTTTCAGACCTGCTCCGAGTCTTTCTCTTGCAAACAGCAACCCATGGTCAGTCGTTCTGCTGATAAACCCGGCACCCCAAACTCCTAAATCCTGAAACCCTAAACCCCCAAACCCTAAACCCCCAAACCCTAAAGCCCTAAACCCTGAAACCCTAAACCCGTAAAACCCTAAACCCCCAAACCCTAAACCCTAAAACCCTAAACCCTAAAACCCCAAACCCTAAAGCCCTGAAGCCCCAAACCCCAAACCCCCAAAACCCTAAACCCTAAACCCTAAAGCCCTGAAACCCTAAAACCCTAAAACCCCAAACCCTAAAGCCCTGAAGCCCCAAACCCCAAACCCCCAAACTCCCAAAACCCTAAACCCTAAAGCCCTAAAGCCCTAAAGCCCCAAACCCCCAAAACCCTAAAGCCCTAAAACCCTAAACCCTAAAGCCCTAAGGAAGCCCTAAAGCCCTGAAGCCCGAAGCAGGCAGGGCACATGTTGGTCGCAGTCATCACCGTTGCGCTGATGGCAGCAGGGCACAGCTGCGAGCCGGCGCTTGACCTCACTTGGAGGGTCCGGGGACTTAGTAAGGGTTGAGGGTTTAGGGTTTTAGGGTTTGGGGTTTAGGGCTTTAGGCTTTTAGGGTGTAGGGTTTAGGAGGACTTAGTAAGTAGATATCAAGTAGAATTATAGGTGCCCTAAAAGGGATCCTAATTAGGGTTATGAGACTTATAAGTCTAGAAAATAACCAGTTACTAAGTCCCCTGACCCTCCAAGCACTCTTGACGGCAGATGAATGGTTTAGGGTTTTAGGGTGTAGCGCTTCAGGGGTTTAGGGTTTAGAGGTTTAGGGTTTAGTTTAGGGTGTATACTCTTTACAACAGATGGATGCTGTACCACTTCTTGGAGTTGAGTGGTCGTTTGTGATGGTGATGTTGTCGTTGTCGTCGATGTTGTTGCTGCTGCTGATGATGAGGAGGCTACAATATGAGGTTGTTGTGGATGATGATGACATGATATGATATGAAATGAAATGAAATGATATGATATGATATGATATGATGATGATGGCCATGGAATTGGTGATGATAAGGCGTAGTCGGTTTCATGATGTTGACAAGCATGGCATGTGCAGTGGCAAGGATGATGCTGATGATGTCGAGTATGATTACGGCGGTGTTCAATGCTTCAACATCAACAGTTAAATGAACATAATCACTAAGGGTCCATGTACCCAAATAGTATATACTTAGGCCTTAATGTAGTACCTTTGTGGGTGCTTTATGATGATGAACAACGATAGTGAGGATGCCAACATGATGACGACGAAGACGATTCTCCTCTTGCAGGTCAGGTTGGCAACGCAGCAGTAGCATCACTTACCAGAGGGCCGCGGAACATGTGGTGGCGGCACAGCACAACCGGCGATGAAGCAGGTTGCAAATCGAAACGTAGCTAGCGCACAATCCCACATCCCAATCTGTTAGGACCAATTATTCCGGAGCCTTCTGCATGCTGCTGGGCCACGTCAGGTTGCAGACAAGTAAGACCTGAATCTTGGAAGAGTTACATCCGGCAAGAAAGCGGGCAGACTTCAAACGTCCAACCCAACGTCATAGCGGTTAATAAAGCGGCTTGAAGAATTAGTAGTAATCCCACCCAGCTCCCATAAACCTATGGTATACTATACCCCAAAGCCCGGCATATTAACAAGGCCCGATAGCAGTCTTACGCTGCCTTAACCTGCGAAGCTCCCTCTCCCCTCTGCCTGTGCTCTCGGTTTTGGGGTTCAGCTTTTTTTTTGGAAGCCCCTTTCCATCTGCTTGGTTATCGTAAAAAAATGAGGATTCGGACGAGCCTGCTGGAATGGTTCAAGTTGTAAGTTTAAGGTTTAGGGTCTCTCTTCGAAATAAGAGGGACGAACATCTTGCTTCGATGCAAGTGGCGATGAGCAGGGCGACGAAGAGTAAGATGGCAAAGCCTGGGGAGTCTGCCAGAATCTGCAGCCTGCCGTTGTTGGCCTCAGCTTCGTCTGCAACATGCAATGGAGTGTGACGCCTTAAACCATCCAGATGCCATGCTCTTGTCTACTTGTCCCTTTATCCTCATCCTGTGGCTTGTTGCCAGACTCCAGTGGCATCGGCTACTAGTACCATGCAACACTGTGACATACTCGTGCTGCCCTGCAGCATGAAACAACAACATCTCCAGCACCAGCCTGTTAGGACACCTAACAAAGAAGCACGTCTTGAGCGGGTGCTTGATTCAGCTGCGCCGCTGTTTGTATGCATGCCAAGGTCCAGCACAACACACAGCGAAAAGACGAGGTGGTTACGACGAGCCTAACTGAGGGGCAAAAGCTTCGTGCGGGTGCTTGATTCAGCTGCGCCGCTGCTGGAACGCATGCCAAAGTCCAGCAGACCACACAGCGAAAAGACATGGCTGATGTAGTAAGCCTGCTTGTCACAGATTCTGCATTTCCGTAATCACACGACCCATGGGAAGAGCAAACATGCACGCTTTGCTTCGGACACGGAGGGACTAAATTCTAAACCCTAATCCTAAACCCTCGTTCAATTCGAGGAGCACCATGGGAGAAGCAGATTTGGACTTCCGCGCGCTGATGAACATGCAGCCTGGACACAGCGCGCAGCAGCAAGGTAGTGGTCCCATGCATGGCATTCACACGGAATACTGCTATGACAGCTGGAAGTCCTCTCAAACCTGAAAACAACTGGCTTGAGTCCGTCACAATTCCATGACAAGATTTGAGAATAAACGCAATGTGATAATGATGATGATGATGATGATGATGATGATGGTCATGATGACTGCAAGAAACATGCCAACTTAGAAACGATGAGGTGGTGACTAGGGGCGAATAGTACAAATAACTACATACAGCTTAATGATGAGGATAACGATTATGGTCGTGATTTTCATAGTGGTGAACCCTAAACCCTAAACCCTGAACCCGATGAGGATGATGATGGCCGTGTTGACAATCTGGGTCGTAACTGTAGCTGAGTGGCCGAGTGAGACCCCGGATAGCAGTGCAAGGCCATAGCCTCCATGGTTTAGGGTTTAGGGATTTAGGGCGCGGTGACTCTCAGCATGAGCACTCCGCAGGTAGGAGGCGAGTGATTGTCCAGAGGTCCAACAAGAAGCTGAGGGCTTCGCCCAAGTAGGCACCAGGCCCAGTTTCTGCGCCTGCACCTCATCCACCGTACCACAAGTCATAATGCTCAGGCTGGCAATCGTTCATCTTGCAGTGGCGCGCGATCACGTCTATAATCGCCACAGTAGTATCAGCCTCATAAGCATTTCCCACAGCCAAGATGGCTGTGGACATGCTGAGCTGGTCGGCGGTGTCAGACTAGTCTTCCATATCCACATAATATCTCATCATCATCATCATCATCACCACCAACATCATCAAAGACAGTGCAATTATCATCGTCATCGGCGTCGTCGTCATTATCATCACCACCATCATCATCACCAGCGTCATCATCACCAGCATCATCGTCACCATCATTACCCTCATCATCATCATCATCCTCATCCTCATCCTCATCCTCATCCTCATCCTCATCCTCATCCTCATCCTCATCCTCATCCTCATCCTCATCCTCATCCTCATCCTCCTCCTCCTCCTTATCATCCTCCACATCATCCTCATCCTCATCCTCATCCTCCTCCTTATCATCCTCCACATCATCCTCATCCTCATCGTCGTCCTCATCCTCCTCGTCATCATCATCCCCAGCATCATGCAGCCACAGCCGCCACAAAGCAGCGGCCCTTCCTTGCAAATGTCAGTGACGGAGTTCTGTGCGGGCAGGCGGCTGACGGTAGATTGGGGGTCGGAGATCAGAACAGCGCCTGTCACGGAGAACCTGAATGTGCGTGCTACACTTAACCAACTCAGACCTAATACGTCCCAAGCATGTCAGCGGTAGCGGTTGCCACATGTGCTGCCCTGCGCATGCAAATTCGCTGAGATCAGGCGCGAAGTTGCAGGGGTTTGTATCTGCGAAAAGCGAGCATCGACGTTAGCGCGCGCTTTGGTGATCTGCCATGGGTTTGGTGATTGCCAATTTTCCTTTGAGCTTGATCGTGGTTCCTGGCTCGCAGCAGCTGTTGTCCACTGTTACATCCAGGTTGTGCTGATGGCCCTGACCATGCAATCTTTACATGCGCTCAAGCACGCGTGCATCTCTCGAGCAAGGAACCTGACAATTGCTCTGAACCACGTGCAAATCAAAGCTGCAGTACGGACAGCATGTGCAGCTTCCCCAGCGGCTCTCCTGCTCCAGAGAGTTTGGGTTTAGGGTTTAGGGTTTAGGGTTTAGGGTTTAGGGTTTAGAGTTTGCCCCCCTTTCTGAAAGAATCAGCACCGAGATGCCATAGACAGACTCCAACATCTTCAGCTCGAGGAATACTCTATGGTGCGGATCCGACAGAAGGGAATCCAGGTTTATAGAAGTCTAGAAACCCCTGTAAGACCCTGCGAATCTACTCGAGGCCCTCATAGGAGGCTAGGAGATTTTGGCCAGAATCCACAACCGCAAAGGAATGGAACACGAGCAAGCGCTCCTAGCACCACTCGCCCGAGGAGAGCAGCCACGACGGTGTTAACCTTGGCAGTTAGGACAATGTTCATCTGGGGCGACTAACCCCAAACCCTAAACCCTAAACCTTAACCCCAAACCCTAAACCCTAAGTTTGCTAAGGCCTTAGAAGAGCTTTACATGCTACCTGGAGTTAAAGGGTCCTGGGTTTCTTTTTTGAAGCGATACACGCCTTGTTTAAGGGCCATGACACTACGATCCCCAACACCTCCTATCAGGGATGTGGGCAGGATATGAATCAGGCATCTACATGAAGGATCTCGTTTCAGGTGTCCGAGGGTATAAATTGCCAGTGTGTCGTCTCTTTGGACCTATATTGGGTACCCCATGTTGAGCAACGTGTTCCCCACACCAGAAGAACCCGACACTACACCCTAAGCCATACAGCGGCAACCGGGCAGATCCCACAGCTGTCTCACCTGATCTCCTCGGTGTGAGAGTGTAATGTAGGGACCCAAATAATTACCTATACTGTTATGGGGTTCCTTACCCTGTTCGAATTATTGAGGCCCCTAACTTAGACGCAATTCTTTTGGATAAGTTCTTGTGATACGCGAGCAGGTTCTACAAGGGATTCGCCGGACAAACCGCGAAATGGAAGTCTTGAGCCAGAAGCCTGTACAGCCTCAAAGAAACTCAAGGGCTCAGAAAAAGGAAACGACAGGTGGGGAGTTTAGGGTATATAGGGCGTCTAGAAGGCTTCCATAAGGTATGCAGACCTTCTATAAGGCTCCTATAACGGTAAGCGTCGTAACTACCCACCTGAACATGTCCTAGACTCAAAGCAACTTAAGGGCTCAGGGGACTAAAGTGCGCTTATCCTAACTACTTATAATGGTTCAATGCAGCGGTTTAAGGCCCCTAAACCCTAAACCCCAAACACCAAAGTTTGAGGGATAGGTTCCCCATGTGTCCCCTTCAAAGCAGGTGTGGGCTTGGGATTTAGGGGTTTAGGGTTTAGGGGCCTTAATAATTAGAACAGGGTTTTGGAGACCATTATGCTGTAATTCTGATGAGGAGCCCCCAAGATAATATAGGTAATTATTTTATTTAAGCCCCTATATTAGCTAGGTTGGCCCTTCAAAGCCCGTGAAAAATATTCGTAAATAGTATCCTCTTAAGCCCAATAAGGGAAAATATAAAATGCCCCAAAGGCCTACCTAGTTAGCGGAAAGCCTACAACTGAAAGGGCAAAGCATACTACTGGGAACCCAACCCTAAACCCCAAACCCGAACCCCTAAGCCCTAAACCCTAAACCCGAAGCCCTAAACCCTAAACCCTCAACCCTAAGCCCTAAACCCTAAAACCCTAAACGCTAAGCCCTAAGCCCTAGACCCTAAACCCTAAGCAACCCTAAAACCCGAAACCCTCAACCCCAAACCCCAAAAGCCCCCAAAGCCTGAGCCCTCAACCCTAAACCCTAAACGCCTAAAGCCCTCAACCCTAAAAGCCCCCAAAGCCTGAGCTGTAGTTAGTTCCTCTGCAGACGGGAGGCGCTGCACAGCACTCCAATGCTGCCCTGCCATCACAGCCCGGTAAGGGTCCCTTGAAGGTCCTTTAGTTTGAGGGGCCCTTTGAGGAGTTCTGAAGGGCTCCTTGAAGGGATAAGGGATAATTTAAGTAGTTTAAGGGGTCCTTTGAGGAGATAATTTTTGTATTAGGGTTTAGGGTTTTAGGGTTTAGGGTTTTCTGGTTTAGGGGTGTCCAGGGTTTCAAAATTGAGCGAAACATGCGCAGAACGAAGCATGCAACAGCGGGCAATACCGGATTTGAAGGTGGTACAGGCCGGTGTTGCCATTGGCGCGCCCGCCAGAGCTGCACACACGCTCAGAACGTTGTTGCCACAGCCGAAGAAGCCTCTGCAGGAGAGATAACTGGGTTCTTGTTAAGGGATTTAATTTAAGTTACCATAATAGGGATCTATAGCAAATAAAATGGTTTCCTTATTATGGTAACTTAAATTAAATCCCTTAACAAGAACCCAGATAATGAGTATCCATAGCGGTAGAACTGCACAACCCAGTATGGAACAAGTATGACAAGCATTCTCAGGCACTTGGAATCTTAAGTGGCCTCCGGGCCCAAAAGTATGACGGGTGCACTCGAGTTAATCCTATGTGCGGTTGGCTACGTTTTGGTTCGGTGCCTCACATGCATTCGATACCACGCATTACCTTGCCCCTGCTGTGTGTAGTTGGCTTACGGTGAATAGATACTAAATCACTCGGATTCGATACTACACATTACGGACGAGGTATACATCGAGTTCCATGCTGACACATAGCAAAGAAAAGTTGGCATGTTCGAAGACACCACCCGAAATCCTAAAATCTAAATAGGGTGTCAACCAGAATCCCTAGACCCCAAACCGGGAGTGCCTCGTGAAAGGACCCACTTGATTTCCTTCCGCTGGCAGTGATATGCAGCCATGCCTTGTCTTGCCAGCATCCTGGGTTTAGGGTTTAGGGTACGCTGCTACGCCGGACTTGTCAGCCGAAACCTTGTGCTATCTATGGGGGAGAACCCTCAACACTAAACCCCTAAACACCAGGAAGGAACAATGGAGATGGACTCGGTTCGTCGGTTTGGAGATCTTGTTCACTGGATGCATACGACGGACATCATGCGAACATGGACCGTTGGGTTAGACGTTTGACGGTACCTCGGTCGACAGCAGGTGCGACCCGGGTTTGGGCTTTTGTCATACAGCCAATCACATTACTGCTCGTCTTTTCTGAAAAACCTACAAACCCGATAAAACTAGATGGAAGACTAAACCCTAAACCTTTAAAGGATCCCTCAAAGGAACCCTGCAAGCTGGATACTCTTAGTTACTAACTTGGCCACCGGGAAGGCCAAGACCTAGAACCCCTTAAACAGCCTTGTAGGATAACTTTTTAGGGGGTTTCTATTTTTGGGGAGTCCTTTAGGGGGGGTCCGGGTAGCTATGGCCGAATGCCCCTAAACCACTAAACCCTAAACCCAGCTATTTCTGAATGCGACGCAAGGCGACACGACCTGGAGGCCCAAGACGATCAGAAGCGAGCATAGGCCAGCCAGGAAGAAGTAGGGCCACTGCCATCCCTGAGAGCTCCTAAAACACTAAACCCCAAACCCTACACCCTAAACCCCAAACCCTACACCCTACACCCTAAACACAACACTACACCCTAAACCCTTTAATAAACCCTCTAGTAAACCCTGTAAACCCTAAACCCTGTTCAGAGTCAGCCGGGCTTGGCATCTTGTGGTTCAGGGGTACGAGGGCCTCGGATCTGGGGGTTTAGGTTTAGGGTTTAGGGTTTAGGGTTTAGGGTTTAGGGTTTAGGGTTTAGGGTTTAGGTTTCGAGTTTAGGGCTTTGGGTTAATGTAGGGGCCTCAATAATTAGAAGAGGCTTCCTTGAAAGGGTTATTATAAGGGATATTATAAGGGCTCTATAAGGGTATATAGAATAGAGTTTGGGGTTATGTTATATACAAAAATTACAATAAGGAGTCCCCACAACCATATTCTAATTATTAAGGCCCCTACATTACGTGGGTTTTGGATGTAGGGTTGTGCTGTTTCGGAGATGCCAGACATCCAACATTCGCATTGTCTAGGCACGGGCAGCAATACCCACCAGCACATCCCAGCTACAGATGCAAAGAGAGAGCCTTCTCCGGCGGACCAAGATCCGAGTAAATAGTCCGAGTATCTCCTGATCGTCCCTATATATATATATATATATATATTATATACACATATAGCTATGATAGACCCCGAAACCCCGTTCTAGTCACATGAAGGCTCCGAGACTATTATAAACCCTAAACCGCCACTCCGCACACCGGAAAGGGCTTTGCTTTGCCCAGCCTGCAGCAACTTGGACAGAATCAAATTCAAGGTGACGAAGCATCCGCAGACGAAGACTGCCAAAATGCCCTGGTCAAGAGGTTTTAGGGTTTGGGGTCTTAGATTTTGGGTTTAGGGTTAAGGACACAGATTGGCATGGGCATCAACTAAACCTCGATGTAGCTAAGATGTGAGAGATCTCAACCCCTAAACCCTAAACCCTAAACCCTAAATTTCTCCTTTGGCAACCGCAGGGATCTAAAAACCCGCTCGTCCAGTCTGGGCAGGTCCACGGCTTACTCAAACACCGGCCTGCTACTGTAGAACACTAAGCCCTAACAGGGAAGCCTGAATAATGACCAATAATGTAATTAGAATAGGGTTTTGGGGGTTCCTTACTTATTATATGTATAGTATAATATACCCCAAAACCCATTATAATTACTAAGGCCTCTATATTGTCATTCTTTGGGTTTAGGGTTTCGGATTTAGGGTTAGAACTATGCTTCAATAGACCACAAAACCCTATTCTCATTATGAAGGCCCTAGATCCAAACGACTTGCACGCTGTAACGACGAGTCTTGGAATGTCTTTTCGCACAAGCATAAAGACCTTTGTGGGAGCCGAGGAATACAATGACTAACAACTCAAACCCTGAAGCCCTAAACCCTACTGTTGCTGACATAAATCCTGCATGACCTTAAGGACCCTAAACTTTGGGAATTATGGTATATTCCTTGTTATGGGTAATGCAGGATTTATGTCAACCCTAGGACCCAATATGCAAGTCTCTGGGAACCTGCACTTCAGACGGGATCGGCATGGCGGATCCACCGATCGGCGCCGAAACGTGCACGAAAAGCGGCGAACTCTAAATCCTGGTGGGTGCTGAGCCACAAGCTGCGCAAGGGCGACACTTCTAGGGTTTGAACGGTTTTGGATATAGGGTTTAGGGTTTAGGGTTTGAACGGTTTAGGGTACAGGATTTAAGGGTTTAGGGTTTGAGCGGTTTAGGGCATATGGTTTAAGGGTTTAGGGTAAGGGGTCAGGGTTTGAACGGTTTAGGGCATAGGGTTTAAGGGTGTAGGGTAGGGTAGGGATGGTTCGGCCAAGAAGGCCTAAGTGCAAATCTGAGCTTTTGGCTCGGGGCAAAAAATATAGGGATCCTACATTTAGAATCGGGTTTTGGGGGGGGACGTACAGTCTAGCTACATAGCGACCAGAATGGCTACTCTTACGACCCTACAGTAAGGTCATGATATGCGAAGACAGGCTTCCGCACTTCCATTTACGAAGCCAGCTGCGTGGACGTGGCCTGTATGCGTCAATGCTCGTGGGCCGGGGGGCGAGTGGACCCTCAGCCCCGAAACCTAACGCACTAAATGTTACAAGGAGCTTAGTAACCCTAAACCCTAAGCCCTAATAGGGTTTTTGGGGTGCACGTTTGGTCTAATCTTATTGAGGAGCCCTGAGGAATCAGTTGAGTAGCGATGCGTAATTAAGGCTTGAGGGTTTCGGGTTTACCCACCCTAAACCCTCAACCCTAAACCGTGTCGGCCCCTAGAGAAAAATCAGCCAAAAGGCGCCATTTATTCGACAAATTTACGAGGCTCTGACGTTAAGAAGCCTTCCAGGCAACAATGCTGTTCAAACTCGCAGCCCCTCAGAGGTTCTTTCAGGAGAAGGTCTTAGGGTTTAGGGGTTGAGGGTTTCAGCAAAATAGAGACCACCCGAAACCACACCGCCCTAGAAGGAAAACCCTCAAACCCCTGAAGAAACCTAAACCCTAAACCCTAAACCCTCAACCCTAAACCCGAGTCCCCGAGACCGGAGCCTGTCCCAGTGACCCGCTCGGCCAGGGCCTGCTGCGTTGAGGTTCAAAGCTTAGACCCAGAGAGCCCAATACCCCTTAATTAAGGAATATACCTTAAATCATAATATTAAGCCCCTTATGGTTTAAGGTATATTCCTTGTTTAAGGGGTACTGGGCTCTCTGGGGAGGAGTCATGCTGATGATCCTTCATTCTGCGATCTACATAAACGGCCCCATAGTAGTTCCTTTTGGGATTACCCTTATAGGGTTCTGGAGATGAACCCCAAAAAGGAACTACTATGGGGCCTATGGGTAGGTGTTGGGGTTCGGTGTAGGGTGCATAAACGGCAAAAACAGAAATCGCATGATGTGGGCCTGATTTCCCAGCATGGCCTCTGTCTGTGCCCACCCGCCCTACTGAGCCGAAATTTCCACGGCAAGTACACGCCTCAACTCCGATGAAGCATTCGAGACTGTGATGACTCAGCAGCATCAAGTTGCATGCTCAAGCAGTCTGCCTCTTTTGCCCATGCTCCCACCCCGGTCGTCTAATCTTCAAACTGACATGCAAGCTGCTGCGTCCGTGACGCTGCATATGGGCCCACCGATGGCACGCACTGCATGTGGGTCGATCCGATCTTTTGAAATTCACAACGTTCCCTCTTCCATAGGTTCATCTAGGATTCTTTAGGGTTTAGGGTTTAGGGTCAGGGACAGTCCTGCCCAACTATTTCAGGCCTTCGAAGAAGAAGATTTTGCGTTTGTCGTGCCACCACCAC